TGTCGGTCAGGTACTCTTCAGTACTGAGTACCGATACTTTGCGGTGCGATTTGCATCAATACAAAATGTATGGACATTAATTACACTGCAAAGAATAGCATGCAATTTGAACAGGAATATGATTCCTGTCCAAATCGCATGTGGTTTCCCTCACTGCATCAGCTTTTTGATGCTGATGATAGCATTTATAGAATAAAGTTTTGTTTCTGGGGCCTGAGAGCCTACTTGATCTGGTATATTTACTGAATTGTCTTCACTGATGCTGAAGTCCATATCTACTCTCTCTGAAAAGAGTGATGTTTGTTTTCATCAGCTAGCTTTTTTTTATATATCTTATACATGCCACCATTCTAAATTTGCACCAGGTAAAATCTTGGATTTTTAATTTAGGAACTACTGTACTCCTCATGTACCAACCAAGAAACAATGGCTGGAACAGGTGAATAATATGCTCATACGTGATTAACATACAGTGCTCAGCATAAATTATTATTATACAGATTTATATAGCGCCAACAGTTTGAGCAGCACTTTACAAAATGAAAGTAGATATTACAGTTACAATACAATTTGGTACAAGAGGAAACAGAGGGTCCTGCTCGTTAGAGCTTACAATCTAGGAGTACACCCCAATAGATTTGTCAGAGAACCTTTAATTTCCTTTCTGTATCAACATTTTCTATAGGAGGCTATACTACATGATACTCCCACAAATGCGGGCCATTGATTGCAAACAAGATTTGTTCATTTACACACACAAAGTATTTCTCCTAACAAAGTTATTCCAGACCATGTTGCAAAAATTAATACACCCCAATGAAAGTCTTAGGAGCAAAGCTAAATTTTTGACAACAAAATTCTAATTAACAAGAATTCAACTACAGGTGAGTCTAATTATTCATTAAACAGGTGTCCTGCAGACAGGTGACTATAAAAGGGCGTTACTTAACAAAGAAAAGCCCTTCCCATTTCATGCTGTCAGCAGCAGCACCACATGGAAGAGAAATGTCACAAGGCCTGAGAAAGAAACCAATTTCTTTACCCAAGAAAGGTAAAGACTACAAGAAGATCAGCAATGGTTTACTTTTGAGTCAGAATAATGTAGCACAAATGCTACAAAAATGTAACAAACATGGAACTGCAACCATCTCAGAGACGTCCAGGCTGTCCACAGAAGTTAACACCTCAACAAGAGCATCTTCTGATGAAAAGGGTTGAAGAAAATCACCATGCAAGTTCACTGCAGTTAGCTAAAGAACAGGAAGCCAACATGGGATGATTGTTTCCCATGACATAATACGGCATACACTGCGGAATGGCATGCATGAGTGTCGTCCACGAAGGAAGCCTCTCCTAAAGCCCATACATAAAAAAGCCTGCCTAGAATTTGCCAGGGCCCATGCTGAAAAAGAAGACTACTGACACTCTGTACTCTGGAGCAATCAGGACAAGATAAATGTTTTTGGAACTGATGGTTTCAAAACTGTATGGTGTCACAAAGGTGAAAAGTACAAAGAAAAATGCATGGTCCCTACAGTGAAACATGGTGGTGGTAGTGTCTTTTTGTGGGGCTGCATGAGTGCTGCTGGTATCAGGAAGCTGCATTTAATCATGCTATCATGAATTCACAGGTGTACGGCTCTATATTGAAAGAGAAGGTGCTACCATCACTCTATGCCCTTGGTCGTTGTGCACTTTTCTAACATGACAATGATCCAAAACACATATCTGAGGCCACTGTTGCATTTCTGAAGAAGAGCAAGGTGAAAGTGATTCAGTGGCCAAGTATGTCTTTTGATCTGAACCCAATCGAACACCTATGGGGAATTCCGAAGAGACAAGTTGAGCATCACTCTCCATCCAGCATCCAGGTTCTAAAAGAGGTTGTTCTTGAAGATTGGAAAAAGATAGATGTTGAAATATGTTGCCAACCTGTTCATTCCATGGCTAGAAGACTTGGTGCTGTCCTTACAAATCATGGAGGTCATACAAAATACTAGATAGTTTTTGTTGTGGGGTGTATTCATTTTTGCATCAACTAATTTGAGTAAAACTGAAGATTTTGTAATCTAAGTTATATTATTAACCTTACTTTCATGTAATGAGCTAAACAAATGTTCGTAAAACTCAGTTTTGTCAAAATTTTGGAGAATTGTTCTTGTGTTTATTGAGATATTGATTAAAATCTTACTTTTCTAAAGTGGTGTACTCATTTATGCTGAGCACTGTACCAACATAGACATGTTCCCCATAAATTGTACTCTATGTGGCAACTTTGGCTGGATGTACCAGGTCTAGCACCACATCAGTTGGTAATGGATAGACTTCTCCAGGGTTAAGCCCCTGTAGGGCGATTTGTGATTAGTTGTGGCTGACTTATTTGAAGGTGTTCTACTCTTTAATACGTTATATATCTTCTTTATCTTTTTTTTGTTTTTGTTTTCGTCACTAAGGGATTTTATTGGTTACCTCTTTATTGGTCTATTTTGTATATCAACTAAAGATCATTTTATATATCTCCCCTAATTTGACATAACCTTATACCCACTCTACCGTATGTGTCTCCAATGTCGATTTATGCTGGTACTAAGTGCCTTATTTGGAGTCTGTATACCTGCTGTGATCTATCTGCTGGTTTTCTTTTGTTTTATAATAAGCATTTTTCTGATTAAAATATATAGAAACTACTCAAGCTGGTAGCCACATTCCCCTTTTGTTTTCCCATGACCTGAGCAGTTATTGGTTTTGTAGTGCTGATATTATGATGTTATATTAAGCTTGTGTTCCTTGTTTAAACCTCAGGTTTTCTTTTACTAGTACAGGTGTCAGGGTAGGTAGCTTGAAGTTATGGCTGATTATATGTCATGGTAGAGTGGAGCACAATTGCACCTGGAATAGTTATCCAATGTCATCAATAGGTGCATTCTGGAACTCCAGTATAGCAATGTATGGATCCCCTAAACAATTGGAATAAGCAGCTCAAACGGTATGATAATCCAATTATTTATGATTTTGCTGAATCTCGCAAGTGTGATTAAAACGTATAAATGTATGTATCTCCTCCACTTTGTTTTGTCTCATTTTTGATATTATGAATCATTCTCTCAGTCTGTCAATTTAGATTTAGGACTGGAAGATATACAGTATGCTGAAAACCTTGAGCTTTAAAAAAAAAAAACCTTTATAAGTTTGTTAAAGCCCATTGTCTGATATATACCCTTCCAAAATGCTTTCAATACCTCAATCACAATGGATTTCTAGGCATTTTCAAAGGTTTTGTTAAAAGAAAATCCATTCAAACTCTCTACAGCCAGAATGTATAGTAGATTGCATTGTTTAGCAGAGTGGTGAGGATTACATTTGGAGTCATATGTTCAGTTGAGTAGACATGAAATGTTGCATGCAGTGTGGACACTTGAGCTCAATTTTCCTCAGTGTTTTTCTTTTTTATTTCTAAGAAAGATTAATTGAGAACTGAGCAGATGGAAGAAACATGTCTATATTTGCCACCAAATATAAAGGCATGTTACAGGCAAACATAATTGAAAAAAAGCAGTTCTTGGTTTGGGGTCAGATACCGAATATTTTCATAAGTACTCATACTCGTGAAAATGCTTCTGATATCCCAAACCGATACTTTGTGGTGTGATTTGAGTCAATACAAAATGAATGTATGTAATATATAAAACCAAGGAGAGCCATTCCAGACCTTCAACTTAGAAAAGAGGAAAGTAGCTCTTTACAGTGTGGAAACACTGTGTGTGAAATTTTACAATATTAAAAAGGTGCTATTCGCTATTGAAATAATGCTCAATACCACTCAACAAAAAATACATAAACCTTATATTAATAGCCTCTAACAATAATCAACATAGATAATTTGATTCATGGTGTCCATCAACAAATTATAGTCCATCCAATGGTTTTCCATAAACCTTCACTCAACTGTGTGCCCAACACTTGTGTGAAATCCACTCGATGCCAATTCACCACCACGTGCAGTAAGATTGAAAGCTTACGAGATCTCCATCAATTCGTGCATATCACATAACCAAAAAAGATCATGGAGGAAGCGGATGTAAACTGGGTTTTCTTTTTGAATAATACAGTATGACAATACACACACTCAGAAAAAAGAGATTTCTCCCATGGTGTAGTATATTTTATTAAAAGTGCAAAGAATAAAAATGTAAATACACTCACATTTAAAAGTGCCGCTTCAGGCACTGAATTAACCGCGTGGTGTGGATATAGACCACTAAGCTCTGCCACTATAACTGTCTGAGCCGGCATGCATTCCACAGGCTGAATCCAAATCACCAGAAGTGACTTACAGCAGGGACCAGAAGTGACGACAGCAGGCAGGCCTCAATGCATTTCGTAGAATCGTGTCATCAGGAAGCTCAGAGGTATGAAGACCCTGGTGACGTCCGCTTCCTCCATGATCTTTTTGGTTATGTGATATGCACGAATTGATGGAGATCTGGTAAGCTTTCAATCTTACCACACGTGGTGGTGAATTGGCATGGACTGGGTTTTACACAGGTGTTGGGCACACAGTTGAGTGACAGTTTATGGAAAACCATTGGATGGGCTATGATTTGTTCATGCACACTATGAAGCAAGTTATCTATTTTAATTAATATTAGAGGCTTATATTATTATAAGGCTCATGCATTTTTTGTTGAGTGATAATGCAAAATGTATGAACGCAAATTGTAACGCAAAAAATAGCATTCAATTTGAACAAGAATGTGATTCTTGTCCAAATAGAAATGTGGTTTCCCCACTGCTCCTGTGTGAACCTAGGCATTTCATAACCTGAGTTCACACAGGAGCGATGCGGGAAACCTCCCTGCACTGATCCCATGCTGTCACACAAGAAAAAGCTGCTTCACAGGTCTGGATATTTGAAATCCCAGCGAATTCCTCTCCTCTCAATGCAGGGATGACAGTACAGCCTAGACAGATTTGATTGGTCAGCACCGTCATGGTGTACCAAACGTATCAGTAATCATACTTGGCAGGGGCGGACTGACCATTCGAGCACTAGGCACTGCCCGAGGGCCCAGGGTCAGTAGGGGGCCCCATAAAAATGCCCCTGGTACCTTTTATAGGCTTTTTTGGGTGTGTTTTGAGTGTGCGCAAGGACACAGGGGCCCCATGATCCCCAATTGCCCGGGGGCCCCATGAGTTGTCAGTCCACCCCTGGTACTTGGCGATCAAAAAAAGGGTATCAATGCATCCCTAAAAGCGGTTGAAAAATGTTTGTACACTTTAGAGCACATTTCAGCAGTCAATAACTATAGAAATGATCCCTGAAAGTATAGTCTTGTTGAATAAGGTTTATAGATATTCACAAGCTACAGAAATATGTACAAGAGAAACATAAGTAGAAAACGCCTCTATTTACTGAAACTTCCTTAAACAAATGACATTACCAATCAATTGAACAAGGAAATGGCTATTGCAGTTCCGGAAATAAATTTTGCTTGTTCCCACGAAAATAAATGCGCAAAAATCTACCAACCTTAACTTATATATAAAATAAATAAACAACAAAGGCTGTTACTTTTCTGTTTATTGAGCAGGTGAGGTAGCAATATGACTAAAAGAATTGAAGTTTGTAACTTTACTCCCAGCGTTTTAATTCAATTCTAACTTCCGACAGTTAAAAAACAAATAAATAAAATTGTCCACTCCCCCATTTTCCACCAATGAAGGATCTAGTGGTCATTTTGTCTAGGGGATGGGCTTAATATATGGTCCTGAAATTTTTCTTCCTGCTGGTTCTGGTTCTAGAAGCTGCTCTCCTTGATGTTCTTTGGTTGATTATTATTATTATTATTATTATACAGGATTTATATAGCGCCAATAGTTTGTTGATGCCTCGCTTGTTGACATCATCACATACAATGTAGGACCAGCAGTCCCATTCTGATGACATAATCACCAGTCCTGAGTTGTCCTGAGGGGCCTGGGGTCAGTAGGGGGCCCCATGAGATGCCCCTGGTACCTTTTTCATAGGATTTTTTGAGTTTGGGCAAGGACACAGGGGCCCAATGATCCTCTATTGCCCGGGGGCCCCATGAGTTGTCAGTCCTCCCCTGAGGGGGAACCACATCTTCTAGTGACTCCTAAGGGGGTAGTGCTGCAGTAATATATTTTGCACACTAAGCGTATCATACAACAATTTTCAAGCAAACAACAGTTTATAAAAAATGTAAATTGTATTAAGCTGAATGACCACAAAGTGACTGCAGTTGAACACTGGACTGCCACTGGGCCAAGGGATAATTGTTGTTGAACACTGTGGATGGGTATTATTGCAGGTATTTATACAGTGTTGGTAGGTTACATAGTGCTTTACATAGAGAGCATTCACATCAGTCTCTGCCCTAAAGGAATTAGCAAATTAGATACACACATACACGTGAAAGGACTATTTTAGAGTTGATTCAATCAACATATCAGCATACCTTTTGGCATGTGGAAGCTAAATTTCAAGTTTTGCAAAGGGTCTGAATACTTTTGCCAATGTGATATTTCAGTTTTTCCTTTTTCATACATTTGAAAAAAAACCATGTAATTCTGTTCACATTTTGTCATTATGGGGTACTGAATGTAGATTAACCACTTGCCCTCTGTAAGATTTACCCTCCTTCCTGACTAGGCCATTTTTTGCTATGTGGCGTTGCGTTACTTTAACAGTTGCGCGGTTAGGCAACCCTGTACACTAAGGAAATTTATATCATTATTTTCACACAGATAAAGCTTTCTTTTGGTGGTATTTAATCATCACTGTGTTTTTTTATTTATTTAAATGAAAAAAAGACTGAAAATTTAAAAAAAACAATATTTTAACTTTTTGATATAAAAACATTTCCAATTTAAATAAAAATCTTCAAAAATTTAGGCCAAAATGTGTTCTGCTACATGTCTTTGGAAAAACAAAATCCCAATAAGTATATATTAATTGGTTTAAGTGAAAGTTATAGCATCTACAAATGGTGATATATATACTGGAATTTTGATGTATTTCTTTTTTTATATGAATAATGGCGGTGATCACCGAACTACAGCGGCACTGCGATAGTACGGTGGGCATTCTGACACTGACTGACATTGGGTGGGGACTGACTAACTGCCACTGACATCTCCAGTGACACTAATACAGTGATCAGGGAGCCAATGACAGCTCGGGAAATGCAAATCATTATACGTGATTTTGCACGTAGCGGCTGCCTTGTAGCAGTAAAACTGCTATAGGGTGGCTGGGAAGTGGTTAATGAGAAAAAAAATTGAATTTAAACAACTGTAGTATCACATGACAAAGTTGAAAAACGTGAAGGGGTCTGCATACTGTATGAATGCATTGTATATAATGGCATGCCGTAATTATTCAACCACATTTTCCACTTGCTGATATGGATGCATATGGAGGGAAGCACAGTCTTATATTTTCCATAAACACACTGATTATAAACCATAAATAGGCCTCTACAGAGAATCTCTCAGGACAGAAGTAAGTGAGTTACTACTGATTTTTTGTTTTTGAAAGTGCAGACATTTTTAATCTTGCTTGACTACCACTAAGTAATCTGCTAAACTAGGGCAAGTACATGCATTACAGGAGTCACAGCATCTGATATGTACCATTAAAAGCCTATCTCTAGCCATAATTTAGTTTTCTGCCAGGTTTTAATACTTTATGTGACACCCTTGGAGAGATTTTTCCTTACATCCTGTCTTTGTAATGCCTGTACAAAAATAAAAGGTGCAGTCACTACCTGGACAAGAAAGAACATACAGTATAGCAATAAAAAAAAAACTTTGTCAAATGTTCTAACTCTTCTCCAATCTGAAAGAGATATTTTCCATCATGAGCTGACCTGTGAGAAAGTGAGTGGAGATCTATCTCCCCAATTAGGACGTAGATAGCAAGGGCTTTTTTTCAGCAGGAGCATGGGGAACCCAGATCTGGCACCTCCAGCACTGAGCGTATGTAATGGCCAAGGGTGCTGGGATGTGCTGGAAGGTCCATTGATGCTGGATGATCTATTGTCACTGGAGGAGATCCTTTTTTTGCATGGGGGTATATTGTTGCTGGCAGCGGGATATATTGTTGCCGGGTGGGGTCTTATGTTACTGGGGGTCTTATTTTGCTGAGAGGGATCTATTGTTAAGGGAGAGGTATTCTGTTGCTGGCTCCAGAGAGAGAGAGATCATTTTACCCCTGTACAAATCATTAGTAACACCTCATCTGGAATATGCAGTTCAGTTTTGGGTACCAATTCACAAAAAGAACATTGGGGAACTGGAGAAAGTACAGAGAAGGGCAACCAAACTGATACGAGGCATGGAGGAGCTCAGCTATGAGGAAAGATTAGAGGAACTGAATTTATTCTCTCTTGAAAAGAGGAGATTAAGGGAGGATATGATCAACATGTATAAATACATCAGTGGTTCATATATTGAACTCAGTGTAGAGCTATTCACTCTGAGGTGTTCACAGAGGACAAGGGGGTACTCTTTACGTTTGGAGGAAAAAAAATTTAAAAAGAGCTGTGAAAATGTGGAATAGACTCCCTCAAGAGTTGGTTCTGGCCAGCTCAGCGGATTGCTTCAAAAATGGCCTGGATTGTTTCTTAGATACACAGAATGTAACTGGATACTAACATTTATAGGTAAAGTTGATCCAGGGAATATCCGATTGCCTCTCGGGGGATTAGGAAGGAATTTTATACCCAGCAGGAGCAAATTGGATCATGCTTTGCTGGGTTTTTGTTTGCCTTCCTATGGATCAACTGTGGGTATAGGATTATAATTTTTTTTTTCTTTTATGGTTGAACTGGATGGACTTTTGTCTTTTTTCAGCCAGACTAACTATGTAACTGTGTAACTATGGAGGGTCTATTAATGCTGGCTGCTGGGAGATTTGTTGTTGCTGAAGGGGGTCTAATGTTGCTGGGGTGGTATTTTGTTGTGGGGGTTCACTGTTGCGGGAGGGAGCTAAAAGGGGGGGTTCTAGGAGGTGAGTAGCTGTGAAATCAAGGGATGGTGCTCAGAAGTGTGTAGGGGATGGACACAATGGGTAAGTTAGAGGGGGGAGTTCCTACACCTATTCTGTGAGGAAAAAAAGCCCTGGTTTAACTAAAACATGTATAGTCATCTATAGTTTTGAAAAATGTTATTCTATATTATGTAATCATCACTGTGTTTGCTTTCTTGCCTTCTTAGGCCTAGCCTCCTTGGTAATCGAGCCTCCTGTAAGTGAAATTGTGCTACAGAATGAGGAATCTCTAAATTTATCATGCTCTGGAAATGGAAATGTGAAATGGGATCTCACAAAAAATCAAAGGAAATTTGTTAAACCAGTAAATAACACAATACTAATAACGCAAGCAACATCTAGATACACTGGAACCTACAAATGCAGCTACACCTCCCCCAATTCCACAGAACAAGCATCAGTACATGTCTTTGTAAAAGGTAATATGAATACTTTGAAACACAAATGTACAAATATTGCACATACAGCTCCAGTGTTTACTATACAGCTCATTGATAGCAAAGTCCATTGAAAAAATATTTTTATAAATGGACTTCTCTATCATTGAGCTGTAAAATAAAGACAACTCAACAATAGTCTCAGAGAAGGTAAAATGAAGACATGGCGCTACATTACCATGTGTGTGCTTAATACAATGAATATATTCGTAATATACAGCAATAATAAAGTCATTTTATGGCATTCCCCTTTTTTGCATGTATTTTAATGTTTTTGAGTTACAAGTATAATGCAGTAGGTTTAGATGATGGTGATGGGGGGAAGAATGTACAAAGTAGACCCAGCTTTAGTGTAGCTTGACCAAAAATTAAGAAACCATTGCAGATATCTATTGCATGGCATAGAAATGCCCACAAATCTACAGCGCTTCTTAAAGCCTTCAGATAGATGTACTGAAGTTTGATGCTAAGTCTACCTTCCTCACATTTGTATTCCTACAAGAATACAGAAAAGGATGCAGAAAGGGCTGGGAAAAGCTTTGGAAGTTCCAAAGTGTTTCCTATCAGAATGGCCTAGCATTTGTGCAGATTTTAAAGCTGTATTAAATCCAAAACCAAAAAATGTACAGCCCTGGCCAAAAGTTTTGAGAATGACACAAATATTCATTTTCACAAAGTCTGCTGCTTCAGTGTTTTTAGATCTTTTTGCCAGATGTTACTATGGCATACTGAAGTATAATTACAAGCATTTCATAAGTGTCATAGGCTTTTATTGACAATTACATTACGTTTATAGAAAGAGTTGCAGTGCTGACCCTTCTTTTTCAAGACCTCTGCAATTCACCCGAGCACGCTGTCAATCAACTTCTGGGCCACATCCTGGCTGATAGCAGCCCATTCAATGCATACTCAATGCTTGGAGTTTGTCAGAATGTGTGGGATTTTTTTTTGTTCACCCACCTTTTGAGGATTAACCACAAGTTCTCAATGGGATTAAGGTCTGGGGAGTTTCCTAGCCATGGACTAAAAATGTGGATGTTTTGTTCCCCAAGCTATTTAGTTATTACTTTTGCTTGGAAAAGGCATTTTTCATCACCAAACTGTTCTTGGATGGTTGTGAGAAGTTGCTCTCGGATTATGTTTTTTGTACCATTCTTTATTCATGGCTGTGTTCTTAGGCAAAATTGAGAGTAAGCCCTCTCCCTTGACTGAAAAGCAACCCCACACATGAATTGTCTCAAGATGCTTTACTGTTGGCATGACACAGGACAGATGGTAGCGCTCACCTTTTCTTCTCCGGACAAGGTTGTTGTCCAGATGCCCAAAAAAACAATCTCAAAGGGGATTCATCAGCGAAAATGTCTTTACCCCAGTTCTCAGCAGTCCAATCCCTGTACCTTTTGCAGAATATCAGTCTGTCCCTGATGTTTTTTCCTGGAGAGAAGTGGCTTCTTTGCTGCCTTTCTTGATACCAGGCCATCCTTCAGCAGTCTTTGCCTCACTGTGTGACAGATGCACTCACACCTGTCTGCTGCCTTTCCTGAGCAAGCTCTGCACTCCTGGTGCCCCAAACCCAAAGCTGAATCAACTTTAGGAGATGTCCTGGCGCTTGCTGGACTTTCTTGGGCGCCCTGAAGTCTTCTCTCTCCTTGAAGTTCTTGATGATACAATAAATGGCTGATTTAGGTGCAAT